GCTAGGTTGGAAGCAAAAGGGTGATGTGGGATCTTGGAGTGGGCGGCTAGGTTGGATGCCGTAATTCTCTTTTTTTTTTTTTATTATTATTATTATTATTATTATTATTATTATTATTATTATTATTATTATTATTAATTCACATCAATTCAATTATTTATTATTTTTTAATAAATAAATGTTATAAATATTTTAAAATTAAATAATTAAAAATTTAAAATATTGAATACATGTTTAATAAATATTTAATAATTAATAAATATTTAAATTTATTTAATAAGTACTAAGTAACTTTTAAATATGTAATAAATGCTTAATATATGCTCACTGTTTTTTGTAAAATGTTTAATAAATAATTTCGTAATTTTTATTTTTTTACAGATGCCTCGTCAACCTAGAGCTGACAAGGAACAACGAACAAGTGGTAGATTAAAGGACCGTACTGTTACAATGTCCGATCGTTAATACACTGCATCAAATGTTGAATAACTGTCTTTCCGCCCATTAATTTAATTTTGATTTTGAGTCTTGCATTATAAATGTATTTCAACGAAGTGGTAATATTTGGATCTTCACGTCGAAGATGGTTTAAAATCTTCTTAGGCTTCACGTGACTTCTCGTCAACATCTCGGTAACTTCATACTGCTTCTTCGAGAGTTGTTTATAAAGACCATGCTTCGAAGCCGGAGGATGATTATGCTTCCCATAAACTATAGAGAGTTCCCATTTATCCTCTGCTTGTAGAGCCCCCTTCAGCTGGAAACCACAATAACATTTTTTCGTGCCAGTACATTTTGTACTTTCTACACCTCTATTCTTTCGTTTCACCTGCTTTTTCCCAAACCGATCACAGGTGACGTATACTCTATCACAAAAAGTATGACCTATAATTAGCTTAATGCCATGGCTTTCAGCTGTGTCTCTCGCCCACTGTATTAAATCGGCTCTACAATTAAACAATTGTACTCCTCGAAAATATTCAGAATAATCAACTTCCCCATTATCCTGAAAAAAAATATAACAAAAAAAATATATATGTATATATATATATTAAAAAAATAAAAATAAATAACGGATCGCATCTAAAGTAGAAGCGGACGCATCAAAGACAGCGCCCACCTTGGACGCGAATACAATGTACTACGCGCCCAACGTGTGCGCGCTATTTGTTTCGTCTTCCAGCTTGTCTGTCGTCTACGTAAGACGATTTGTTGGCAAAAAAAATTAAAATCTTACATTCGGTTGAAGTGGATTGTCGTTAGAAGGTATTGAACTCATTAGTCGATGATTATTACGTAACAAAAAACGACTTTTAACGACTTCTAAGTACTTTGAAAACCCTAGAAAAAAGTTGGAGAGAATTCGAAAAAATAGAGCGTAGTAGGAAAATATTTTTTTGTATAGAGAGAATTTTTTTTATGTGCGGGATTTAGTAATTTTTTGTGTGGAAAACCCTAGAAAAAGTTAGAGAGAAGTCAGAGAAAATATTTTGTAGAGAAAGAATATTTTTTATTTATGTGCGTGATTTAGTAACTTTGAGTGTAGGATTTAGCACCCCCCATATAAAAATATCAAATTAAATAATTAAATCAAAGAATTCAAAAATAATAACTCAGACAACATTCAATAATGGTGAGGAATAGTGGAGAACGTGAAATTGATGGTGCTACGAAGATGTATATAGGTTCAACTTCACTTACTAGTGTGTCTAGTGTCCATACTATTTATTGTCTTTTTTTGGCACAAAAAAATCCAAAAAATATTTAGGTATGACTTTTTTTTAATCGATTATATATAATATATGTATGACTTTGATTTTGTTAATTTACGCAAATTGGAAGATATGATACCCCTTTTTTATTTATTAACGAGAGAATCCTGTCAATTCGAAGTAGATTAGATAAATTTTTATTCTCGTGCAGTAATTGATAAATTTTATGGCAAATTACAGTTACTCTTGATGTATGATCAAATTACGAAAAAACCCATTTTGTTTGGATAATATTACAGTCTTCAGCTTCTTTTAAATATTTTACATAAAATTTATGTAATTCGATAATTTATTGAACCAAATCGTATATTCAGTTCGGTAAACATTATAAAAGTTTGCGGTACCGAAATTTCACTTTGGTTTCACCGATTTAACATCCCTATATTTACCTCTTGAGGGGTATTTTCGTAAGATAATACATGGTTGAGAGTGTGACTGTAATTACCTGAACATGAGGATGTTTTTGTAATTTAACAATAACTCAGGAGTGGTTGTAATTTATCCTAAATTTTACTATAGGCAACTAAAAAGAGCTACAGTATATTCCATAAAATTGCTAAAAAAAGACTAAGAAAACAAAAATAAATACATTTGACTTTCTGTAATAAGATGAATATTGGGTTTTTTCTTTTTACCACACAATTGTGAAAGTTAGTGATTTCATTCCACAAATAGCATTTCCAAGAATAAAATAAAAATATAAGAATAAGATTAATAATTTATAAAAATAATTAATTACTTTTAGCTAGTTGGACTCCCACAAAAACGGATCTTCAAGCCGGAAACAAGCGTCGGCTCCAGCCAGCTGCCACGAAGAAGAAGAAGCATAGTAGCTGTAGCCATTGCCACTGTGATCTGAGCCGCCGAGGGATAGATCCGGCAAGTCGAAAAATGTGTCGTCAGCTTCATGAGCCGTGGAAGCCGAATTCGACGTTTCTTGCAAATTTGTGGAGGAGTGGGAACTAGCCAGCTTGCTTTGGCTCGGCTCGGCTTGTTCGTCACTTGATCGGCTGATTTCCTCCGGAAACGCGGCTGCTGCAGCGGCTTCGGCTGCGGCGGCTTGGATATCCTTCGGCGCGGTGGAGGCGGGGCGGGGTAGGTACTCGGCTAAGTGTGGGAAGTTGAGGTAAGCCGACTGGCCCTTGATGGCCAGCGCCGCCACGTCGTGGGCCCTCGCCGCCATCTCCGCCGTCGGATACGTCCCGAGCCATATTCTCGACTTCTTCCTCGGCTCCCGAATCTCGCACACCCATTTCCCCCAGTTCCGCTTCCGCACGCCGCGGTACATTGGGTGCTTCTCGTTTTCTTATCTTGCAACTTGAACTCAGCATCTACCTGCACCATTAGTTAAAAAAATTAATGTAGACACAGTAAGCAAACAAAACAATTGAAGAATGTACGGAAAGCAAACCTCAGATGTACGCAAAGCATCCACAAGAGGCCGGGGACGAGCTAGAGCCGCCGCACACGCCGGTGGAGGAGGCGGCGGAAGAAGTGGCGGCGGCGGTGGAAAATAGTTGATCTTGAGGAATAGTAGTGTGGTGGAGGAGGGTGATTATTTTTGCTTCCATGATAATAATATGTATGTGTGCTTCAATTGTAAGGGCTATTGTAGCTACAAATAATATGAAATATGTTTCCACATAAAGTAAAGTTATGAGAACTTTGGTTTATAAGATATATTATTTTTTCACAATTTGGATTAATTTATATAATAAAAAGAAAAAAAGAAAAAAAGAAAAAGACAACAAAGAGACTTGTACAATGGAGCTATAATTGTTTTCTTTATTCCCTTGAGGAGCTTTAAATTAATTAATAAAACACATGGTTTGAGATTTTTATCTTTCAATTAATTATCATTTTTTTTAGGAACGATTACTCGATGAGTGTGGGAGTTGGGCTGGAAACTCTGCATTTCTATAAATCAAAAATCAATAAGTACATAAAGAGTTTCAGGTAATATGTGAAATTAATTGTCATAGTTAATTTATTAAGGCCTCGTTTGTTTGCCTATATCGAATTATATCCGATTGAATTAATTCCCTATTGGTTAATTGATTATTTTAGTTAATAGTAACATGTTTGATTCATATTTTGTATTAAATTTGTTAGATTATGGTATTATATGTGAACTGTTTGTAAAGTCTTTTCATTTAACAAAATTAAGTTATTGATTCAAGAATAAAACTATAAATTTTATTTTTTAGTCACCTCCTGCAAAATTACAAAATTAATCTCAAATGAGTTACTAACTTCATGAAATATAACATTTAATTGCGAGCTTTCATTTTAGAAACGAGCTTGAATAGTGATGAATCTTACCAACCAACTAACTCCTACTATTTATCAGTACAAAGCAAACGAGCTCGTCCTGTTACTACTTCTCAGTTCTATTGACTAATTAGTATGAGTTAGTAACATATTTCGTTGGCAAATCCAGATTAACTAAATTCATCTCGTATAAAAAAATATAATCGCCACAAATTATCCCTGAAAAAAAATGATACAAACTATATGAAATGTTTCGAAATAAGAGATGTTAATACGAGATGAAATACAAGGAAACGAACATTCGACTAAATAATTAATAAGTTAGTTAGTCAGTAGATAATTAATACAATCCAATTTAATTTAGATTAATTAGCTTTAACTTCCTAATCAAGATGGTGACATATAATTTGATTTTACATATATTAATGGCAAACAATTATAGAGACACCCACAAAGTTGGGGGTCATTCTAGGTAATTAATTAAGAAAGGGGGCCATGCTATTTTACGCACATTGATAATAAGTCATGCAATTTGGGGGTAGCGGCCCCCACTGGGTAGGGTTATTAACAAGGATTTCCATTAATTTTTCTGTAAGTACTTTAATGCAACTTAAATGGCCTCGATGACTTATTTGCTATCATGGGGGCTTCTATATTTATTTTATATATATATATATATATATATATATATATATTGAACATTTTATTATATGGTTCAAATTGAATATCTATAAAAGAATCATTTGTTTAATTAATTAGTCGAGTCGAGTTCGAACGAACTGTAGTGTAAACATTTTTTGCACAAATCGAACTCGAATAGTAATTAGTTTTTTTTTCTTTCTCTACATGTAGTTCTATTTGTTGTAATTGATCAATTTCATATCTAATCGAACGAAGGTAGTTTGTATTCAATTGTTTGGTTTGTTGTACTAATTGGCTGAGTTCAAACGAGTTTTATCGACTAACTTGATTCGATTTGTAGCTCTAAATTAGCTATTATTTCATCATCTCTCGTTTTTAGCTTTGCACAAGGTTAAAATAGGAAAAAATACATTTAATATATACAATATTAAAAATCTAAAGTGACAGATAATATGGAACAAAAATATTTTTAACAACAATTATTAATTATTATAGAAGAAACAATTTTATGTTTACCATTTTGCCCCTTGTAAACAAACGAAATGACGTAATATTTCAAGAGTTGTAGTTAAAAGTGTGACGTAATATACCAAGTTTCCACCTTTTATTCAACTACAATTATAGCAAAGGTTTAATGGCACAAAATTATATGCATATATACATGTAATATATATTAAAAAATTCGATAAATAGTGTCACGTAATTTGTACTCTTCCCAAACTCGAAAAATAAAATATGCTGACGTCATGAAAATGTAGAAAAAGAACACCGAATACAATGAATGTTTCTTCAAACGGCGCCATGTTATCAATTTTGACCAATTTTTATTAATTTTTTTTATAACTAAATTAAGAAAATAAAATAAATAAATAAACATGGTATGCGTAATCATTAGGGACAATATTTTTTCATTGTGCTATGTAATTAGTTTATACATCTGGGTTTTGTTTTCAGGGATGACGATAAAATGATTCACACATGACCATTTATTTATTTTATTTTTCATTTTTCATTTAATTTATATCTAGGATACGATGTATTTCATTAAATTTTTTAATCAATTATGCTATTTTGTGAAAATAATTACAGCAGAGATGGATCTAGAAAACGAATTTTGAATTAAAATAGTTAACATGGGTCACATGCCAGTGGGTCCAATTTGTTCAACAAAATTTAGTCATGCCCAACATTTGCTGGAATTCAGTTTCTTACTTGCTATTTTTTAATAATAATTCTTTTATTTTCATCTATTTTAAAAATAATTATAAAAAAATAATTTTATTTAATTTTATCTTTTTTACATTTAAAAAAAAATCGAACTCGATTAAATGCACAATCTAGAATTATGCGAACATTGTTACTATTCGTTAGATATATCGTAAATAAACTGGTTGTATCTTCATGCAATAATACACATAATTAAATTGCTTCAATCAAAATTAATCAGATTTAGTAAGCACAATTAGTCAATTATTTAGAAAGGGACATCAAATCTTGAAAAATATATGTTAATCATAATTAACATTATTTATTTTAAATAATGTTATACTGCTCAAAATCTTTTTAAACTAGAATATGGGGTCAATATTTTATATTGAAATTTTATATAATATATATTTTGTCCTAATTCTGGTAATATTTAAATATTAATATTCCCACTTCCTTCTAAATATCCCCTTTCCAATGGCCCTCAAATAGGCAGCACCACAGTTGTATGTATATATATATATATATATATATGTATATATACAGTATATACTTAGCACTTAATTGTGATTAAGAAAATTAATTAAATTAATAGAAGATGGAGTTGTTGAACTACTTAATTAGGTATATGATTCGGAGCCACCTTAGAAGAATACATGTACAATAAAACACTATTTGTCATTAAATAAAAATTAAATAAATTCTTTTATATTTGCTTGGATTGTAGTAATGTGTTTATCTTGTTTGCTAACATCATATATATTTGGAGATTTTCTTTTTCTTTCTGGAATTTAATCAATTGAATTTAAAATAATTAAATAATAATAAATTTAAATTATTTTATATTTTGGACAATAGTACTCTATAGTCTATCCTAACAACTAACAATTAATTTGATAAAAGATTTTTCAGTGAACCTACTTATAAGAGCCTAATTTAAAGGTTATAATCAATAAAAGAAATTAGAGCCTAATTTAATTAATTTGAAGTACATACCGTTAAATTTCTATAAATTAATTATACAGTCAGGACTATCACATTTATTAATTTAACTAAACATTAAATTAGTAAACTAATAATTTAGTACATTTTTATCGAATCGTGACTATAAAAAATAGTATTTAAACGATATTACTGAAATTTCTCTGTCACGTAAATAATTGACAAGAAAGAACTTTGAGCATATCAACCTCAAACTCACAGTATGGTACTAATTTAATTAATGCAGATGCATAATATGCCTTATTTTCTGGTGAGGGGGTTGAGATTTAATTAGATAATAAATACACAATTTTTTATTTTGTACAAAATTAAATAAAAAAGATGCTTATAATTTGTGGTGTATATATATATAATATATATATATGAACCAAACATGTTTGTTCTTGAGACAACTACAGACTTGTCAAGCTTACCTAACATGCCCTACTCAAACTTTAGTTGTATTAATATTTAATACTGTTTAATTTGATTTTGAAACTTCAATATGTTTTTGGGTACTATGTTCATGCAATCTGAAAGAGATCGATGAACACGCATTTATTATTGGAGTCGACGATAAAATTGACATAAAGTGTTAATTAAATGAGTTAAATAATCGGTTAAATGGATAAAATTGATTTTAAAAAAAAATAATTGAACTGTCGAATCGAACCGAGAAATTGGGCCGGGCCGGCATAAGGCCTATAATATAGGGGGTGAAAATAGGGAAATCGAATCGAAATTTATGTTTTTGGAAAAATTTATACTGACAAATATTCTGGCTTTGATCCGTAAAATTATTGAAAAAAACATTTCAAAATTCGGATTGGATTGGTGAAATTGGAATTTGTTTTTCGATTTACACATCCTAGTAAAATAAATAATAGTATGAATTCTGTAAATATAATTTTTGGAAGAAAGATAAAAGGGGTTTTATGAATTATATTCTGAATTACAATTGATTGGAAATTGGAATTTCATATTCCTGATTTTGATAACAATTTTGTTTCCAATTGAAATCCTTGGAATTTAGGAATCTGGGCTCGAGATTGGGCCCATTTCATAATAAAACAACACAAAAAGAAAACCCAATAAATAAATAATTCTTATATTTGTCATTACATAAATCTGCTCATGATTGATGTCCAGACAATGATTTACTTCCCCATTATATTTTGTCCATTTATTAAAAAAAATAAAAAAAAAATCTTATAATATTCGAAAATCCAATTTCTTACAACACACTAAGGTCCAAAGAATGTCAGCATAATCCAAAAAAAAAAAAATTGAAAAAACAATTATATTTTAATTATATATATTAGTGGAAATGCATGTGAAATCCCATGTGAAATCATCTCATTTGATTTATTATTAACAAAAACGTAACATGACATGTTTCTCTTAATTTTAATTACAATTGGATATTATATATATTTTGTTACTAAGAGAAATGCAAAAGAGTTGACAATAAACAAAAAGTTGTAGTTCGAATTTACGTACTAGCGTGTAAACAAGTTGTCTCGACAAAAGCTCGAGATCGATGAGTGTATATATCTACGTAGTTAATTATGCGCAATAGTAGCGCATATTGTGAGTTGTTATAGCGCCTGGTTATTTATTTTTTCATATTAAGAATATTCATCAAAATTAATCAATGTACGTATAAATCAAAAGTACGAACGTATATACACCGCATAGTTTATTCGCTATACTAGCGCAAATTATGAGGTGTTATTGCGCTTAATTAGTTATTAATCGTTTCATATTTAAAACTTATTCGAGCGTACGTACATAGAATATTATGCGCAATAACAACACAATTTCGAAATTTATCTAAGTAATTTTAAGCACAAGCTCTATCAATTTTTTTTTTTTTTTTTATTTTGTCCATTCAGTATTAAATACATAATCCCATATTACATATCTTCCATTATGTAGTAGGCAAAAATATTACCATTGACCAGTCAATGAAAAATCCAGGCAATTTAGTAACAATTTCAAACATTAAATAAATTATTAATATTTGTTACACAAAATCTGCACCATCTAATTATACATTTAATCTCTAAAAAATTCCTATCAAGTATAAATAATAAACACTAGATTTTCTCCTCCACCTCTGCCATATTATATCAAGCCGCCACCACCACCACCACCACTCCACCACCACAGCACCACCGTGAAAATGAATCCATTAAACTCAAATGCAAGACCTTATATACCGAAAAGTGAACGTGCACTGCGAGACGACAGGTCGTTGTTCATGACCTTCTCGAGCGATGCACCTCTCACGTGGCGGGAGATTTCCAACCATTTTACGAGGTAATTCATTTGGAGTTATATATATACATAATTTTATTATTTATCTATTAATTATAATGTGATTTATTATTTTGCTCGTGACAGAGAATACGGAGATGTGGTGGAGCACGTGTATGTGTTCCAACAACAGAAGTTCGGAAAGATCATTTTCAAGATGGTCGATCTGCCGAGAATAATAATGGGCAACAACGAGGTTGTAAGAGTGAAGATAAGAGGCAGAGATGTTTGGTTGAAGCATTACGTACCTCAAGATCTCCGCAATATTAATAATTAATAATAGACATATATATAAATATGTATACTTCTTTGTAATTGCTACATAATATTGAATGTAGAGTATGTATAACTTGAATGATAAATGTAATTTTTCTTACTACTTTGTTTTTTTGAAATATATTCAATTCTCTATCAATATCATTGTTAAATAAATTAGAAGTGTTATAAATTAACAAAATATATAATAATTGAATAATGAAAAAAATCCAAAATGGTTTTGTAAATTAGAAAATGAAAGAATAAGATGTTCTTTGTAACAAAATAAAATCTAAATACCACAAGTACTATTAACATGAACTATATTTATGCATTATATGTTTTCATCTATCGCAAAATTAGCGCAAGAAATGTAATAACGGGTTTTTATTTTGCGCAAGAAATGTACGTAGCAAGTTATTAATTTTGCGCGAGAAATGTACGTATTATGTTATTATTTTATTACGCAAGAAATGTACATAACGGGTTATAAATCTTGCGCAGGAAATGTACATAACAGGTTATTAATTTTAATTTTGCGCAAAAAATGTACATAACGGGATATTAGTTTTAATTAGCGCAAAAAATGTACATAACGGGTTATTAATTTTGCGCAAACTAAAGACACAATAATTACGATATTGTCTCTTATTACATTAATTACAATTTCATGTAAGATATCAAATAATTAATCCATTCAAATAGGCAGACCAAGAAAAAGAAAAGAAATAGAGAATCAGTATATATTTTTCCCGCAATATTAATAATTAATAATAGACATATATATATATATATATATATATATATATATATATATATGTATACTTCTTTGTAATTGCTACATACTTATTGAATGTAGAGTATCTATAACTTGAATGATAAATATAATTTTTCATACTATTTTGTTTTTTGAAATATATCCAATTCCTCCATCAATATCGTTGTTAAATAAATTAGAAGTGTTATAAATTAACAAAATATATAAATTGAGAATAATGAGATGGTCCTTGTCTTGTAAAAACAATCCAAAATAGTTTTGTAAATTAGAAAAAGAAAGAATGAAATGTTCCTTGTAACAAAATAAAATCCAAATAGAACATAAGTAATATTAACATGAGCTATATTTATGCATTATATGATTTCATCTATCGCAAAATTAGCGCAAGAAATGCAAATAACGGGTTTTTAATTTTGCGCAAGAAATGTACGTAACATGTCATTAATTTTAATTTGCGCAAGAAATGTACATAACGGATTATTAATTTTGCGCGAGAAATGTACGTAACAGGTTATTAACTTTTAATTTGCGCAGGAAATGTACGTAGATGCTATTATTTTAATTAGCGCAAGAAATGTACACGACGGGTTATTAATCTAGCGCAAGAAATGTACGTGACGGGTTATTAATTTTGCGCAAACTTAAGACACAATTAATTACAATATTGTCTCTTATTAAATTAATTACAATTTCATATAAAATATCAATTAATCCAGTCAAATAGGCAGACCAAGAAATAGAGAATCACTATATATTTTTCCTTTCCCATTTAATTTGCAGTGAAAGAAAAAATCCAGGCAGTTTAGGCAAAGCCATTTTATTGCAGTTAGTCAAAACATAAATCTGTAATCTCAGTGTACAAAATCTCCAATTGCAAGAAAATATTAATTAATATTGTGCATCTCTTCCCCTCTTATAAATAACTGAAGCAAAAATCACATACACACACACACACAAACATATTACCTTGAAGCAAGAGCCTCTGTAATAATAAACAGTTAGCCACACTGATCAGTAGTTAATTAAGACACTAATCAGTAATTAATTATGAACCCTAATGCTCAACCATTTGAGCTAAACCTAGAAACTGGTGCAGTTGCACCACCACCACCACAGCCGACTGCACAAGAGGATCGTAATCGGAGGTCTTTGTTCATGACCTTCTCCGCCGGTGTTGCACCGCTCAAATGGTGGGAGATCTCCGACTACTTTAACGGGTAATTAATTTGTATTAAATAATTATTTTATTCGTTGTTATTATTATTGTTATTTATTTATTTATGGTGTTGTAATTGGGTGTGACAGAGAATACGGGGATGTGGTGGAGCACGTTTACGTTTGCCGACGACAAGCCGATAGAAATCCAGATTTCGGAAAGATTACGTTCAAGTATTCGGATTTTCCGAGGTATATAATGGGGAATGAAGAGGTGGTGAGGATGAGGATTAGAGGGAGGGATGTTTGGTTTAAACCCTACGTGCCTCAAAATCTCCGACATCAACATCAACAGTAGTTCTTGTTATGTAATATATAAATAATAATAATAAAATTATAATTCACTTGCTTTTTCTTTTTTTTTTTTTAATTTGTTTTTTTCTTATGAAATGCTAATACTAATTTGTTGTCAATTGTCATGTTGTTTATTTTATTTTTGTTTTGTTTTATTTTAGTTCAGATTGTTATATGAATTAAAATAACTTTAGTTAGAAATAGAGTGAAACCCTAACACAAGATATGTTCATAACAGGTGCAAAATTAGTGCAAGAAATGTATATAATTGGTTACATATACATAATCATTTATTTATCTTTTCATATATATATATATATATATATATATATATATATCCTAAAGCCAAAAAAGTACGTACAAACAAGTGCAAGAAAAATTAAAAGCAAAACTTGAGAGATTATTAAAGAGAAAAAGAGTATC